AAAACTCGAACCCCGCTAGGAACGGGGATGGGTACCTATATTTTACTCCCAGCAGGTATTGGGGACGGGTGCAGTTTAAATCTACGGAGGCGAGGAACATAAAACCCGCCCCCGCCCCGCCCCGTTGTCATGCCTACTCATATAGTTATATGTAATAAATATGATCTCTGTAATGTCATGCTAAAATATTATGTAAAAATTGTACTCATCTCTTCTAAAGTTTGTTTAAATGACAAATTCTTCCTTTTAAAAATTACTTATCTCTATTAGAAAGATTATTAGTTAAAGTGAGAAATAGAGAAAATTAAAATTAATTCATATTCTGTCAATCATATATATATATATATTATTTATTTTGAATTACGTATAATGTTATTTTTTTTTATAAAAATTTTCATTATTCTTCCATTTTAAAAATAATAATTTTTCAGTCTATTAAAAAAAAATGCATGTCATTTAAAAGACTTAAAGGGGAAATGAGGGAAATTTTCCCAAATGCTAATTACCGAATAACCTCCTTATTGTCAATGATAATGCCATACTTTATTATTTCTTGTTTCACCCAAAAAAAAAAAAAAAAAAAACTAATATTTACCAACGGAGCCAGTGCAATTTACAGTCATGAAAATATTCGTGATGTCACGTTTTTCATTTACAACATTACAAAACCATCTACAGGCCCGTTCAAGAACAGAGACAGGTGATGGTATACGCTGCACCCCAGCAAACGGCTGTAATTATTTGAATTAACAAATTACAAGGGAATTACATCTGGTCTAATCACTTGTGTTGACCCGCTATCTGTTATTTTGTCCTCGGCAACTGTAGATCCAAACCAGAAGAAATAAAATGTCTTCCAGCTTGAGGCTTTCAATCTTCAGTTCATTTTCAGACCCATTAACTTCGACTAAATATAATAGAAAGTAAAAGAAGACAACAAGAACCCAATGATCAAACGGTCCATTGGCACAAACTAAAAAGTGAATTGCTGGGTCACAAGTGAAATCCCTACTCTCAAAACACTAATGAGTAATTGAGTATCAAACACATGCACTAAGAGAAAGAGGATCGAAGGGAGATATACATGTCAAGTTCAATTAAAAATTTGTCCGTTAGTTGACACTATTTGGTACAGTCTCTACATATATATATATATATATATATATATATATAATAAAATAAAAACTCTACATTTTTTTATACTTACATGAAAAAATTCTACAAATTAATTTCTACCATTTGTTGACACTTGACAATATAATGAATGGTATTAAAGTATTTTTAATAGGGACTAAATTAAACAAATAATCTGCTTCATCCATGTTATAGTTCCTTTTATACAAAATAGAACAGAAGCTCTAAATTTGTTTGTACTTAGACCAATAACAATAACCCAAACCAACTCAGTCAAATATTCTGAATTCCACTATTCCCAAAAGATGACCTAATAAGTTTGAAGCCACAAGGGCCGTCCTATATCTTCAGCGAAAAATAAATCAACTTTTAACTGAGTTATGCAAGAACCTACCAGGTGAACGGTGTAACATATTAAAGGTGAATGGCAAATCACAATTACTAAAACAAGGAACAGAAATGACTAACAGAGAAGTCTTGAGATCTATCATCTTCAGCAATACTAAAGAAACTAAGATAATATTGATAAATTTCAACTCAGCTGGGCTGTTTTTCAGGTTCCATAAAACTGTATCATCATCATAACTTTTATGGCACAATGGCATTCGAGAAAAGTATTAACAGAGAAGTCATGATATCTATCATCTTCAACAATACTACGAAACTAAGATAACGTTGATAAATTTCAACTCAACTTGGTTATTTTTCAGGTTCAATAAAATTGTATCTTCATTTATAACTTATATGGCAATATGGCATTCAAGAAAATAGCAGTCCATTCCCAACGGAAATCATAAAGCAGACATCAAGTAAAACAGGGACAGTCACTCAAGACTACATTTTTATGAACCACAAGAAAGCCTTTCATTAACTGTTAATGCATTAGCTAATTTTCCAGAATTCTTAGCATTGCATGAAGCTATGATTTAATGTAATACAGACATGCAATTGCTCCTAGAAAATCAGTCTTTCAAAAACATTCTTGTTCATCAATCATCATGTGGTTGTTCAAGGACAAAGGAAAGAATACACGTTTCCGCAAATACACTGTCATCAAATATCCAATATCATTCTAGGTTCTTGGGTTACGAAATTTTAACAGATAAGGAACAAAAGTGATCCAATCAAGTAACAATGGGTTGAGATTACTCGAATTAAAGGTATTCTCTACATTTTTTTATACTTACATGAAAAAATTCTACAAATTAATTTCTACCATTTGTTGACACTTGACAATATAATGAATGGTATTAAAGTATTTTTAATAGGGACTAAATTAAACAAATAATCTGCTTCATCCATGTTATAGTTCCTTTTATACAAAATAGAACAGAAGCTCTAAATTTGTTTGTACTTAGACCAATAACAATAACCCAAACCAACTCAGTCAAATATTCTGAATTCCACTATTCCCAAAAGATGACCTAATAAGTTTGAAGCCACAAGGGCCGTCCTATATCTTCAGCGAAAAATAAATCAACTTTTAACTGAGTTATGCAAGAACCTACCAGGTGAACGGTGTAACATATTAAAGGTGAATGGCAAATCACAATTACTAAAACAAGGAACAGAAATGACTAACAGAGAAGTCTTGAGATCTATCATCTTCAGCAATACTAAAGAAACTAAGATAATATTGATAAATTTCAACTCAGCTGGGCTGTTTTTCAGGTTCCATAAAACTGTATCATCATCATAACTTTTATGGCACAATGGCATTCGAGAAAAGTATTAACAGAGAAGTCATGATATCTATCATCTTCAACAATACTACGAAACTAAGATAACGTTGATAAATTTCAACTCAACTTGGTTATTTTTCAGGTTCAATAAAATTGTATCTTCATTTATAACTTATATGGCAATATGGCATTCAAGAAAATAGCAGTCCATTCCCAACGGAAATCATAAAGCAGACATCAAGTAAAACAGGGACAGTCACTCAAGACTACATTTTTATGAACCACAAGAAAGCCTTTCATTAACTGTTAATGCATTAGCTAATTTTCCAGAATTCTTAGCATTGCATGAAGCTATGATTTAATGTAATACAGACATGCAATTGCTCCTAGAAAATCAGTCTTTCAAAAACATTCTTGTTCATCAATCATCATGTGGTTGTTCAAGGACAAAGGAAAGAATACACGTTTCCGCAAATACACTGTCATCAAATATCCAATATCATTCTAGGTTCTTGGGTTACGAAATTTTAACAGATAAGGAACAAAAGTGATCCAATCAAGTAACAATGGGTTGAGATTACTCGAATTAAAGGTATTTATTCCCTGGCAGATGCTATGGCTGAGACTGAGAGTCTGAGCCAACAAATTATAGAATTCCAGGGAACAGTTATTAGTAAGCAATAGCATGGAGCCTGTCTTTCTTAATTTTAGCATTTGTAAAAACTAGGGGTGTCAAATCAACCTGTTATCTATCATTCATTCAATCCATCCATTATACAAATGTAACAATGATGGACCAGATCTATTTCATCGATTTAATTTTATGGAAGGAAGGATAGTAATTCATCTATTATTTTTTAAAATCCACTTAATTACAAAAAAAAAAAAAAAAGTGTATTGAATTGAAATTTTAAAAGATTATTTTAATATAAAAAAGTTTATTTTTAAATTATATAATAATGTACTGACTCATAATATTTTTTTAAAAGGCTTTCACAAAAAAAAATATTTTTTAAAGTATATTTTCATAGATGGATTAGACATCAATCAATTAAAAAACAATTAATAGATCGGATAATATTTTTTTCTTCTTAAATGGATCAGATAGATTGGATTTTTAAATAATTTTTTTAACAAATCTAAATAGATTAATAAATTATTTTATGTGATCCATTATAATCTAACTTAAAAATTATCCGATGCATTCCATTGCCACCTCTAGTAAAAACATTTCATCACCGAGACAGAATTAGGAAGCTAAGAAAAAGCTTCAGTATTTTTGTTATGGCTTTTAGTAGGAGGAAGCATCATATTCAAAGGAAATAAAATTAGGATTACAGCAACTGATTGTAAATACCTTTAATCAAATGCATAGGGATCATCTGCATATGGATTAAGAGACCCTTCTGAGAACAAATCACCGATATTTGAAGGATGAGGATGGCCTCCAGCTTTGATGCTCTGCACCAATGATATGTATAAATGAAAAATCATACAGTGTTACTACATCCTACCTCAGGAAACAGCATAGCATAAGTAAAAACACTTATTTGACACCATAAAACAAAATTATGTACAAAGATTGATATCCTATAAGTTTATCCAATAATCTTTTAGAAACAAAAGGAGAAAAAGAAACTTCAAGCGCAAACCCTTTGTCTTTTTGCTTTTAATTATACAATATCAGTAGTGTTGGATGGAATAACTCGATAAATATTGCGGCAAAACAATTGTACCTAGAGAAGCATAAGATTCTTATAGAACTAGTTAACAATATTTCTTTTTACTGGGAAAAGATAAATAGTTTACATATTAGATAATCAACATGAAAAAGACTGAAAAATTCGAAAATAGTAAATGGACTATATATAAAAAAATTCTTTAAACTAATAAGATCATATTAGTTCCTAGCATTATCATTTCTGGTATCATCAGAATAGTTTAATAATGAACACTAACCATGAATTCACTATGAAACCAAACCCGTACACACTAACCATGAATTCACTATGAAACCAAACCCGTACTAAAATGTTGAAGTTTGAGAACATTGGTAGTTGATAGTTTAATAAATAAATAATGTTAAGTGCAAGCTATGCATGAGATACTAACAAAAAAAGATGTTTCAGCCGAGTTGCTTACCTTAACAACACTTCCAGGAGTATTTACTTTCGGTGTATTTATCTTTCGATTTCTAGGGTCCTGATAAAGATAAGAGATTCAATATTCACATGCATGAAAGAAGTCCGCACTAGAAAGCCAAGATATCTGGTGCGTTAATGTAGTTCATGAATGTAATCATATATATATATATATATATATATATATATGGTTAATAGCATTCAGAAAGAAAAATATACATGCCTCAAACATGACAGTACTTCTTGTTTTTCTTTTCTTTGTGATTGTTCTTCCATTAGAAGTTTCAACTTCATACTCGTGACGAGTTACCTGCTAATTAAGTTAAGGAGCTAAGCTAATTGCCAAATATCAGAAGTTATTTACTTCTGCTATCTTTCCAGGCCACTAAAATAATTATCATTTGCTATGTAATTGCTGCAATATAAGTTTTCCTCCTCCTGGCCATTACTTCATAGTGAAGTAAGTCACCTTTCTATGATGCTTAGGAATGCCCACTGCACTTCCTGTTTTTACGTTCTCCACTTTCTTCAACAACTTTGGCACTGGTGTTTGTGTTGCTTCAAAGTAAGGAGAATCCTATGAAGAGAGAGGAAAGATATAAAAAATTAGCTGACTTGGTGAGAACATAACAATAACATGAAAACAGCAGAAAGTAAAATTTCTCCTTTTTTTTTTTTGGAATTCCATTCTTACAAGATCATGCTGATTTCTTTTCCCACCACAAGAACTTCTTCTCTTAATTGATGAAATGGAGTAATCCTATCATATGAAAAGCATTAATATAATTTTGCAAATTCAACTGAAGTTCATCACAAAGGTTGATTGAAGTTGCACGCACTGAACTCTGGCTAATGTATTCTAACATCTATCTACCAGAATATCATCATATTCATATGTTCATCACATTTTCCATGAATAGAAATTGCTTAGATCTCTTAATCAATCATAACCCATCTTTTCAGGAAAATTTTAAGCATACATGATATCAGAATAAAAAGATAAATTGCAATTGCAATAACCATACACCTGTATGAAACCACAAACTAGCATTCATCTTTAAGGTAGTAAGGAGATTGAAACGACACATGATTACACTAAGAGATACCAAATCACAATCAAACCAATGTCTATCATCTAATAACACTAGAATCCAAGATTCTGCTCCAACAACAAGCCATCTGACCACTGTCTTAACCCTTCCCTCTGTGATGTGCAAAATCATCAATAAAAATCATTTTAACTTAAAATTTAAAACAGCTATGCTATGAGAAATTGTACCAATCAAATCTATCTAATAGCCTGTCAATAAATAGTCATTACAAAATGTTATGCTTTCAGTAACAAAATTACGCCTGTTTCATAAGTGACAATATCACCATGAAGAAAATGCATATGCCGACCAGTGGGTCTTTATTTGCATAACCCTGCTATGTGTTTAAGTTCACAAGTAACAGGTTTGTGTTGAAAGAATATTAAAGAAGCAATTTTAGGTACATTATTATACAAGCAATATCTTCTCATTTCCCCAACTGTGCCTACCGAAGGATAAATGTCAAACAAAGGTACCACAGCATGAAAATTGACAAATAATGCATCTATAAGTTTGTAGACAGACACAGAAAAAGAGATTGGAAACACAAGTCAACCTGTTTTGAATTCACTTCTTGGTCCTCTTTGGGCTTGTCACTCATCACTTTCCACTGCAACTGCAACAAAGCCCTTTGTCTGTCTTCCTGCAATATTTTCCAAAAAATAATAATACCAAAAATTAAGAGATGAAATAAATTTATTATATCAGGTAGTCCATACTTTAGATTTTTGAAGATGTAACTCCTCTTCCAGCTTCTGACACTCATCTTCAAGTTCACACCTCAATGCTTTAATCTGAGCTTCGTGATCATTCCTCAGAAACATTGTTTTCTATATATAATTAAGGTATCAACAGGTGAATAAATTCGTATGCAAATCTTGGCTTCAATAAAAAGTAAGTGTGCCACCTCTCTCAGTTCATTTTCAGCTTGCAGTTGGGTACGCTTTAGCTGTTCATTGTGTTCAGCTATGAGGCTTAGTTGCCTCTTGTCATGCTCCTGCTGCATTTGAGTAACCTGTGAATTGAGCAGGAAATCAAGTGACCTAGTGCCTGGAAGTTTTTCAACTTAATGTTAAGAAAATTTCCAAAAAAATAAAAAGAGGAAAGTAATGATGCAATAACATTCCCACAATTCTCAAGAGGTACATACCGTTAAATAAAGGTAAAGGACTATACAAGTCAAAGACAAATCTTAATGTACTTGACCATTTTAAATTACCACTTGAAAGTTTTGATACATTTACATAACAGATTTTATATACTAATTATTGCTATCATGAACAAATTATCCAAAAAGCTTAAGATCTTGGGTTAAGACACGTGAATAATTTTACATCTTTAACATGCCCCTTACGCAAGAGCCTTTTGCACTTGGAAGTGTGCATAATGCACAAGTCCACCTGCCTTGGGCTGACATTAAAATTTTTATTAGAAGAACGAAAGTAGAAAGGATTAAACTCTAGAGTCTAGGCCACTTAGTCATAAAGACTCTGGTACCAACTATCTGAAAAGCTTAAGCTGTTAAGTAAAGCTACATGAATGACTTGTAGAAAAACTAAGAGAGACGAGTAACACTAAAATTGTCAAAGATCTCGATCAGAGCAGGCATATGCCAAACGTGAATACCTCCAGAAGCAACAGGTAGAACACCTGGTAGAGAAACCCAATCCTGAGTAGAATGAGATAAGAATGGATATTAGTTGGGGAAGAACTCGCTCAGCACAAAAATTTCAATCTCTCTCCCTCTTGAATTTGTTACTGTTATCCTTCCCCTTTTATAACTCAATCATTATTTTATTTCTTTTTTAAGTATGAATTTTATTTTTTTAATTTTTATATTGTGAAATTAGGATTTTTTATATTTTAAAAAATAAAATTGACATAAAACATTGCAGTATCTTAAAATTCAATACTAAAAATATTTCTTCATGAGTGAATATGTGAATGAATATGTGAATGAATGCCATTTAGAAGGACATGATATTATGGAGAATTATTATTATTATTTATCCAGAAATTGTTGTTTTTTTTTATTTTTATCTTTGACTCTTTTTAAATTTGAATGTATGAAAAAAAATCTTGAACTCTTATCGTATGTCAAAAGTCTACGAAATTTTGCAAAGTTCACAAAGTCCCACAGAATTCATTAAAATCCTAACTTAAAAGTTTTGCATAATCTATTAAAATCTTGATTGAAAGTCTTGCGGAATCTTACAAAATTTTAAAAGTCATGAAAATTCTGTATAATTTTTTAAAATCTACAAGACTTTTTTTCAACTAAAAAAGTCTTTTAAAATCTTAATCCAATATACCTCTTAACGTGTGTTTGTGTGTCACTTTACATTTTATAAGTTGGAGCTTAGTTTTGAGCTAGATAGATGTGTCCATCCATCACACTCCAAAGTGAGTTATTACAGTTGTGTGAAATGCTATTTAAAGCAATGATATAGAGAGAACAACGGATTTCAAATAGAACAAAAACAATGGATGTGCGACAACGTTGCAGGCCATTGTACCAAAACAAAATCCAAATTGTGGAGTAACAAACTAGCAATTACCAAATGAGATGATGAGTCCAAATCATTGGAACAAGAAAATTTATCCAATAAATAATTCAGCTCACGAGATTTGTAATATATATATATATATATATAT